CTTCAGTGTTTTTTTTTCAAATAGCGATCATTATTGGCTAAGAGTGCGATATCGTCAGCGAATCAAAGAAAAATATTATTCCTTCGCCTAATTTTATGCCTGTATTAGTTTTTTTTTTACTAACAAATTAATAATAGATCAGTTCTACAGTGCGTATTAAAATTCTCGACGTTGGTAAAAGAATGGGTGATCCGCGTTCAATTATTGCATTTTTTTTAAAATCAGTTTGTATGTGGTTATGGTAAGATAACTTAAAAAAATTCAAGTGATTTTTAATTTAATTATTTTTCATCTACCTATCCGTACATAATGATACATTACAGGATTGTTGAAAAAACTACACTAGTTCACAGTTTACAGTATGTTCTCAAAATATATATTATCAATAGAAGTTGTTCCGAATGAAACAACGGATTTAGATGTATCGCAACAGTTGAATTATTTGAAACTGGTCAGGGGTTTTTACTAAGTTTATTCGTGTTAAAAAATGTGAGACAAAATTATGTGTACTGGGAGAACAAGGTATTGTGCCATATTCCGAACGTCACGATGGTTCTCCGTGCACAAATAAAAATACGTGTAAATACAATTACTCCAGTTACAAATATGTACATTAAAAGACACGGAACTGACTCAGCATAAGCTATAATTGTTTTCGATATTTTTTTCGTTTCATATGTATTTTAAACGGAAATCAAACAAGAAATTTCATAAAACATCTAACTAGTAACTAATAAACTATCGACTAGTAAGCCATTTCTTACGAGTAAGAAATGGCCAATTAAAGTGTGTAACAGTATTCCCCCTCCCACCCGCGAATCAATATATTTAACTGCAATATTTAAAAAATTATTTTTTGAATTTAAATTGAATTATTTCAATTATCACGCAAAATAACGTGATTCAACGTTCTAGTTACTTCGCCGACGCGTTGCCGGACGTCCGGCACGTCGCGTAATGAAAATCAATTTTCCATTTTTCGGTTCCCACACGTAAACGTTTCCTGTGCGAACGTCGAGGGACTACTATGCCGCGAACGTTTTCGCACCGGACGGAAAATCGCAGTGCGCTAACGATTTGTTTAAACAGTTGTATGTCGCGCGTCGGCTTCGGCAAAACCGTGTACAGCCTTGAGCGTGCGCGAGGTAAGACTGGTTGTGTGATCGAGCGACGCTTTTATTTCACTTTCGTTCCGTATTCCATCCCATGTATTTTATTTAATTGTATCATTATTATTATTTTTTTATTACGACCAGGAAACCCGAGGAAGGTTGCCTCCGCGCCACGCGTTCTGCGTACCGCCGCGGTCGTCGTCTTCGCCGCGTTGTGTCCCAGTGATGGTTTCTTATCTGATTCCCGACCGAAAACTGAAAAAAAAAAAAACCGTATTTGGAATACAAATTATAAATTAGATCCCACAGAGCGTGATGATGGTGAACGATAATAATGTTCGTATCGCCGCGTGCTGGCGGCCGGCGGTCTTGCGCCGCGGACACTACCTGTGCGTGTACACCGGCCGTAAAAAAAAACGCGTTAGTATGTTCGACGTGTTTTTTTAATAAATCGATGATAAGAAAATAAACGATTTGGTCCACGGTACCGCATTGTTCGGCCGTGCGACCTGAAACAAAAAGGAAGGAAACGGGCGGTGAATAATAATAGGATACGGCTCGTTCGGGTTTATTAATTTTTCATGAACCGCGCAAGGAAGAAAATCGGACGATTCGAATGAATATTGTGAAGCCGAAGTAGAAATTTCAAAATACTCGAAAACAATTGAATTCGCTTACGGACCGAATGACTCGGTGTTGGTTATTTCTTTTTTTACTTTTACGCGACAAGTTCATTGCTAAAACGTATGATTTTGTGCTATTATCAACGGATTGTGTTTTTAAAAATGTAACGCATTGTGTGTGGTATTCAACTTACGGTAATTATAATATGTTCTACCACCAGAAATCAAACACTGAGGTACCGCACGTATCGAGATTGTATTGGTAAATATCGAATTTAGGTTATAAAGACCAAGGCACTTCTTAATTTTACAAAAATATGGTTCTTAAGTGGAGGGTTAATGGTGATTTACGAAATACCTCAAGCCATCATGTAAAAATCGGTTATTTGAATTCAACAATAGTGTTTTCGAAATGCCATTTTTGTGTTCTACCAATGCATTTCAAAAACTATTTAAATATTTATGTAGTCTACGCGGTACCAGGCTACGATATAATAATTTTTTATAAATTATTTCATTGATATTAAATTTATTATCTATCATTATTTCCCACACAAATAACAATTTGTGTAACAGACTTATGACTTACTATATACGTCTTTATTAATCAAACGTCTGACCGTTTTACTAAAGTTAAATTGATCATATTCTTTGGATTTGAGTAGGTAGTTTGAATGTTTGGTCAAACATTAAAAATTAAAAATCACGAACCAACATACTGCATTCGGTCTTAAACTTAAAAATATGTGAGCTAGTATGTGCATTTGTTTAGTACTTTTTATTTTATACAATTTAAAATTTAAACGTCATATATTTGTGAAATTATATACGAGATAAATATCGCTGTATATTAGCTTTGACTATAATTACTAGTATTTATGATCAATGAAAATAGTTATAAATATATTATTTCTAAAACAACCGCAAACACCTATATAGCTCTTTAAACTTAAAATAACTTGTAAATACTATTTAGTTGACTGTTAGTTTGGCTCAGAATGATTCAGTGTTTGTTTACTATAAGATGTCAAATAATAATTAACAGTATTGCTGACATGAGTGGAGTGAGACGAGTGCCAAACTTCTGGTTTCAGTATACTGTGATTAGGGCTATTTTTTAAAAAGACAGAACAGAAAAGTTGTAAAAAATATTGTTACTAATTATAGAATACACTTTGAAAACTATAAAATATCGCTATTGATTTCATTATTTTTGTGACTTTACTCGTGAAAAATATATTATTGAGTGGTCTGAATAGTAATAATTTTTGGATAGCTTTAAGAGCACTTATTAAAGAAACATTTAAATTCAAGTTTATAAAAAAGTTGTATTAAACATTTTTTTTATTTAGCCAGAAAACATTTATGTAAATATTTAAGTTTAGGTTTTTAAAGTATACATACGATTAGTATATCAAAAACTACAAACATTTAATGAGATTAAACAAAAAAAATCATGGTATATCACATGATTCAAATAAGAAGGTATTCGCTTTTTTAACGTAAAACCGTTTTAAATATTATTCTATAGTCAAAATATTCACCATTTTGAATACAAAATAATATATTATTTTAACAAATAATTAAAAATAAACGATCCTGGTATGTAAGTGACAACGTGTTCAACATCAATACACTATTGTACCCAAGCATTTAAATCGAAATTTTTTATTGACAAAAAAAAAGGAATTGAAAATCTACAAACAGTTTGACTATATGAATTGAACGTATAATAATAACGTTTACACGCGCATAAGAACACTCATTTATGCTGAAATGTTTTCTCTTCGTTAAAAGCCATTACGTCGATCTAATTTTATTGAGATCACGCGCATCTCGGGAAAAACTTTAGTTTTTCGAATTTATTAATTCCTAATCAAGCATATTAAAATTTCAAAGCAAACAGTATTATACGGAAATTATGTGGGTTATAATAATTATACGTCGGCAAATAACATGTTTTCGTTCGGTAGGATAAATGTATCATATGTTTGTAGCATAAATATTATCGCATCGGCATAACTGCATAATCTGAAAATAATAAGAAAAATCGTTGTTCAGAAATCAACGATTCGCCTTCGACGGTTGTCAGACGCGTGCATAATTATAATAATATAATATATTATAATAACTTGAAGTGCGTGCAACACAGTTATATTTAGTACCTAATATTATGCATCCTGCGTAAGTCATACGCCGTTTTAAAATAGAAAAACGTTGAATTTCCAGATATTCATCTGATTCGTGATCCTTCCGTCGGTATCATGATTTTCAGAGTTTGTCCTCTATTACATTTAAAATATAATTGTATGAAATTTTTTCTATTTTTTCATTTTTTATTTTATTCTTATCTAGTCGCATTCTACACGCGTATACCGTGCAATATTATATTGTGTTATTAAAAATATAACTATATTGTACTATGCTGATACACGGTGAAGCGAGATAAACCGCGTGCACGTAAATAATAACGTGTGCACTGCAAGTATCCGCAAGTGGCTTGGTCTTTCCACGACAGAATGCAACAATATCAATAATAATAGGTGAATTTAGATGGATTCTTAGCCCCAAATATTTGTCTAGAACCCACTTTCAAATATTCATCTATTTTCCACATAATAGGTACACATGCAAATTAAGAGAAATAAATAAATTTAGAGTCATTTAACAAAATGAAACATAAAAAAAAAAAAAAATAATTAGCCACCTCAAAAATAAAACCCTATTCGAGCCTATGGATATTATACAGCACCGTGCACACATATTGTATAGTGTACGCTGAGATGGTTTTTAGAAATCGTAGTGTTCACGGAGAGTACCAACGACTAATTGAAAGGAGTTCAAGTTCGGCGTGCACTTAACATTATACTTATACATATAATTATATTCATACGCAGAGGTAACTGTGTCTCACTATCTTTGTCGGCGCGTAAGCGCGATGAAACAGAAATGTATTCCACCGTAATAGTAATAACCACAACAACAATAATAATAATAATAATAATAATAATAATAGAAATAATATTAATATGAACGTTGAATGGAGTGCTACTTCTACTACTAATAAGTTGGCTTAAAATAGATGAAAAAAAAAAGAAAAAAAAATCATGAGTAGTATAACATCGAAGCTATTGTTTCACCGCGCGGACGACCAACAATAGTAATTGGCCGACGGTTCTCTACGTATCCTGCGCGCGCAGTATCCTTACAGCTGGCACCGCCGACGCCGCCGCCGATGGACGTATTATCATTATATTTATTATTATGATTATTATAACGGCGGCCCGCAGTAAAATACATATTATTATTATTATTATTAGTACTGTTTTTATTGTGACCGTGCGCACAGATCGTTACCACTCCGGATCGATGGTGGCGGCGGCATAGGGATAAGCGTGAGATAAACAACATGTGACATTATTGTGCACATTACATTCTCGACTGTTGTACGTGCACCGCACGCGGTTAAAACAATGTAACGCGTTGCCCACCATTCGATTTCGTAACAGCCACAGCAGTACATTACGTAGTGCTCGTTATGTTATTGTTTTCTCGAGGATTGCGATGCATATCATCATCGTATCGAGACCACCGACGCTGCCGTTCGCCTGAAATCGTTGTCGTTGGACGTCGAACCGACCGCGACCAGAGGTGGCGACGTGCACCTCCTACCAGGACACATGCACTACCGAAGGAAATACGTACGGTGCACGTTTTTTTCCGCTCAACGCTGCGCGTTCTCAGGCACCCTTGGGACGGTACACAAGTTAACAATCAACTAAACTGTTTATACGAAAATGTTCAAGCATTTTGTGAAATGTTTCAGACGTATCTCGGATGTCTCATTAACGGAGTTGTAAAAGTAAATCTAGGGGAGCGCGAACAACTCGTCTTGTCACGGTGGGCGGGTAGTTTAATCTGAACTGGCCCGTTGAGATGTTAATGTTCGTTTCCTCAGGCCGAAAAACCAACGTAGATATGCACACATGTGCACGGGGACTCGCAACAGGATAGTACAGGGTGTTCCAGGAAAATGAAAAGTTCGAAATAAGTAATGACCGTCGTAGGAGAAGAAAAAATGTACATGCAAAGTTTTACTATAGAAAACAGAATTTACGTATTATAAACGAGTCCAAAGGTTAAAAATATCGTTCTTAGAACTGATATCTCCGTAAGTGTTTACTTTCCTGAAGTCGAACGTTCACAATGTGCACGGCTCTTCCCGACGGGGCTCCAAAATTCGAATTATACAGGAACTGTAGCCATCAGACCACCAATAGCGGTAACCGGTTCAGTGAAAAGGTAATGGAAAATAGAATTGACGTCCTTAGTTTTGTTGACAGCTTGTTAATGTCTGGCGAGGCACGTTTCCATTTCAGGAATGTATACGTACAAATTAACACCGCATCCGACGGTAGTTAATTTTGAGACATGATATTTTTAACTTTTGGGCTCTATTATGTGAATTCTATTTTCAATTAAAAAATGATTAAAATACATTTTTCGTTTTAGCTCTGTGAGAGTAATTTAAATTTTATCATTTTTCTAGAAGATCCTGTATAATGATAATATGCGTGTGTTCCGAAGAAATCGCAATATAGATCACGTCACAAGAATGATCGAAGGAAAAGTTATTCTGTCGACCATAGTGAATTGTGTAAAATTCAAGAATAGGAAATTTTGAATCTCGCTCGACAATTCCTAAAGTCGTATAGCGAGTATACGGCTGGTATGCAGCAGTCGGCAACCTTTTCGTAGGAAAAAAAACCATTTATCTAAAAAGTTACACAACCATGATGTTCAGCTAACCAAATTGGACTAAATTATTTTATTCTTCGTTTACCCTCTCCCCCACCAACCACAAATCAAATTTATTCAAAGTTCCTGTAAGTTTAGTGAACAAATTGAAAGTAAGCCAAGCAATTTTACTAAGGTTTGTTATAGATTAAGGATGTATTAAAAAAAAAAAAAAAAAAAATGTTAATTTTATACATATAGAAGAAAACATTTACGTTCAGGCCTATTCTAATGAGCCACGGCTTGTCACTATGTTTTGGATAACGTCAGTTGATAATTGGCACCCAGGCGAATCCTGCTTAACGATACGCAGGTCCTGCACACCAAAGTCGATCCAATTATCTTATATCGCGTATAATAATAACAATAATGAGTCTCATCACACAGTCCTGAACTGGAACCGTTAATCCGTCTTAGTATTCGGTTTCGTATATTATTATGTACGTATTTCGTAGGGTGTTCAAACATCACTCAATCCATTGACATGGCCCAACGTCCCAAAATATTTTACAGTTGAGTTCCGCTGAATACATCGTGGTTATGTACACGAGTGTCTTTATATTGTGCTCTACATTATACGATTCGAACAAACCGAGAGATTATTTATTGATTTCACAATAATATCTCAATAAGGTTTTCATCGCGGATACCATCTCTCAAGTATATACAGGGTCGAAACCCTCATTAGTATCTCGTTAAAGCATGGAAGCTGTACGTGAAAGATGTTGCCGTATTTCTCTGCGACGGAACGCAATAACAATTTATCACACGGAACAGTGGAAGGAACAGCAACAAATTTATATCAGAGATTTGTGAAGCTTAATAATATGTAACTGATAATAGCACCGAAATAATATATGTATGAGTTACTTGAGGGTGTATGATATTGTTAAAGTTATCAATTTCATTTGTGTTTGAATGTAGTAGTCAGTAACAGTCGACAGTGTATATTTTACATTGTGTTGACGAACATTACACAGATGTTCACATGTGACACAAGGTACGGAAAAACTTCAATCATATGCTCCAAGTTCTCACTGGTTCAGATATCATTACGAATTACAACGGAAATTTTAGAAAAATAAAATGTATTGCATTTTTCAGACATTAGAACTAATAATGTCACCAAAAATGTATTATTTAAGCTGTTAGAAATTAAAATCAATTGTTATATTCTTTTTTTTTCTTTTTCATTATTATTAAAAAGTTTGTTCTTATCGTGGTGGATGTGTCTCGTTTATCTCCGCACTAATGTGCGGATTGTGCCTTCACGGTGAGGAAGAGGAAAAACAAGCTACGTATTACTTAACTACCACCTCATGCTTTTATAAATTACACAAAATAAAACTACGATCCGATTTAACATTGACGTCGTCGTTTTACAATACGAAATCTTAAATTCGGTTCTACGTACGCGTAAACATATTTAAATATTATTGACAACAAAATCAAAATATTTACACTTTTTACTATGAAAAATGTTTAACATTGGTTATAACTTTACAGTGGCCTATACAAGGGGGGTGTTTGGTAGATATGACACCCCCCTTGAGCCGTATCATATATTACATTATTATAGGAATATAGGTAAATCGATAATACAATATGAAATATAAAATAATGCACAATACTAATTACATATATACAGGTTAACATTATCGCGATTGCGACAATACGTGACGAAAATTATTCGTTTACGTTTTCGTGCAACACAAAACGTTTAATAATAATAGGTATTGTAGCATCGAATACTGATATTCGAATAGTCAAATATTCGAATGATTTATGGTAAAGCTATCCGAATTCGAATATACATTACATCTCTATTACAGACATTATGTATACATAATAATTAATTAAAATAAAATTTTTAGTTTGTACGTATTATATATAATATTTAATAATTATAATTAACACCCCCCTTCAGAAAATCCTAGCTACGCCACTGTAACTTTATAAAATAACGTATTTATTAGATAATTATACTTCAATGACTACAGTTCGAAATTATTTTTTCAATTTATATCACAAAAAAGTACAAATATTACGATTATCACGTACGTGAAGTATTCTTTTCTTTCTCCGCTATTTCAGTAGATCGATAACGAAAATGGTGAATATGATTTACAACATTATGTATAAAATTCATTCTGAATCAATCCGATTACATTGGATTGTATTCCTCGATCTCGGGTTTACCATAATAATTATTTATTTATGAATGTCTGAGCGGGGTTTTTTTTACAATTCTTTCGAAATCCACCGATCAGAGTGTGCAAGGATCAACTTTATGTACGTCGATGAAGTAAAAAAAACATTTGATTCCTAGAGTCTTAGTGGCTCTCTTATTATGGAGATATAAAATTACATAAAGAAATAAAACTATTAATTATAATTTTATATTACCGTTAAAGCAATAGACGTATACTTATACTTATATAGACATTACTTCAACACTCTGATAGTTTATTTTACTAATTATTAACTTTTGGGAATCCCATCGCTTGGATTTTTTCTATAGAAGAATTAATATTCAAAGACTTTCAAATCAACTATATAATAAAGTAAAGACTATTGCTTTATAATTATAGCACTATAATATATAATGCATTACAACAAACTATAATAAATGTCAAACGGATTCACGAACCCCAAGTGTTATTCTCGAATATTTTTTTTATATAACACCCAGTCACGGAACTCAAATTAAGTTTCAATTACTTCCGAGTTCCGTGATTTCGTTAAACGAGGATTTTAGAACAACTCGATGTATCACAGCTGGTATGCAACAAGATACGAACATTGAAAAAAACTGACAAGTGCTACGAGCTTTTTACCGTGTTAAGTACGCTTTTGACTAGTCTATAATTATATAAATTATATTCTCGTAACGATTCGAGTAAGGAAGTATGTTGGCGGGGTCAACGCTTAAATCTTTTATATAGTGCTGCGAACAACCGGTTTGGTCAATGTTCAAAATACTTACTAATTTATAATATTGTTAAATATTTAATTTCCAATATAATTTCATTGAAAATCCCATATGGATTAAATAAATACGGTAATTAATTACCAAATGTCAATATTTTTTTCAATATTCAAATAAATAAAAATTGATGGATATAATAAAATCAAAAAATAAAAATTGATCACCTTATAATTTGTGTTTTTATCTATTGCAACGTCAAATTATTCTTCGGATCAATAACTAAACCGGATAACTTAGTCGCGTATATTTGTTAACAGTGCATACTTAAACATGTCAGCTTGAACAGTTAAAAAAAAAATCAATTTCACCAGCCATATAATAATATGCCTGATGTTTATGTATTTCAAACACCGCCTAATATAATATTTTTACATTGATGTTATCGATGTACAGTGTAGATAAAGTTTCTTGTTTCTGTAGGAAGATTGCGCGTATAATGTCAATTGATGTTTCGGGTTATAGGCTAATTCCTGTCACGAGTTCTTTCAAAACTCTGATTTTTTCCTGCAGGTAACACTACGCCATCAGTGGTTCATCTTCAGAGATTACAAAATTAACGATGCAATCTTCACTCTTTGATAGGACATGTTCTTAGGTAAGACCGAGTGAAAAGGTCCGTGTATCGTTAGAGTAAATAGTCTCAATACAGACAAATTGGTTAAAGTCGAATAAAAAAAATTTTACACAACGACTGTTATGATATACACTGGGTACATAATTCGATAATGAAAAATCAGGTTATATCTCACTTTTGGGGATCCTAAACTATGTCGTAGTAAAACATAAAACAATGGTTTACCAAAATCGATACGAAGAAACAGAATACTGTATAAAAATATTGATATGAATATATTAGAAGAATGAAGAATAGTGAGGCACGTGGACCCTTTTTCATTGCAAGCGCGGGGGATGTACGAACGACTGTGTAAATACGTATAATGAGCCGGAAAGATAAAACGGTCGAGCATTTTTTTTTCTGTCGATAAAAATGCATAAATTCAAATGAACATACTATATTGAAATAAAGAGCAGTTAGAGTGTAAGCAGTTTCATAATATTCTCATGTTACTTCCATGATATACGTACATTTTACAACGTCTGTCTAAGCACGTTTGCAGGTCCTCCTATATTATGCTCTTTCCCGGACAACATATACAGTACGTGTCTGACGCGTTACTAAAAATAGGAATATTTTATAAGATGTATGTAAATCACAAATGTCATTGTTAACAAAAACTTTGATAAGTCACACCGTACGACATAATAAATGTACGCTTTTAATACACGGACTTAGTTAATTTGGTCGCGGTGAATTGATCACGAGTGAATTTGATCGCTAATAAAAAATTACAGTTGCGTTTTATTAATTATTATTAGAAAATATTTGAATAACTTTTATTTTACTTAATGAAAAATCTTTTTATCTTTATATATATATATTTAGTTAAGTCCGTTCACAAGCCGATATTGTAATTATTATTTTATAAATAATCATTACTGTTAAAATATGTACTAGTTATGAACATTGCCATATGCTATTTACCATAAATATCACGAATTAGTATAACATGTAATATGATGTATCAGATTAATGTTAATAATTATATTACCTGGAAAATACCGTAATATTAGTCATTACGCATAATTTATAGTGAACTCAATTTTTTTTTTTTTTTGTCACCAAATCTTTTTATTTTTCTGTAGATTTTTTAGATACGCTTTGTGCAACTTCAGTACCATATAGGCGAAATTACGGTTCAAGCAAACTAGGTCATGACCTAATCCAACTGTCATGCCAGAGTTACAACCTACACAAAAAGCACAAGAAAGTTCTAATGCCGTTCAAAACGAAAATATAAATGTAAAAATATGAATTTAGATTAATACAATATTATCGTTGGAAGTTTTGATGATATTGCATTATGATGAAAATTGTTTCAAAGAATCTTTTATGTATAATGTACTCAATTTGTTTATTGTTAATAGGAGGAACGAAAAAATGAAGTTGTGAGTGATTAAAATTTAAAATTTATACTACGGTTTTTACTTACATGTCGAGTTGGCATAACCAATACAAATTATAGTTGTTGACTCTTATCACTATGACCTCTGAATTCTGTTTATTATACTAATGACGATATTGATGATTGAATAGGTATAGGTTGGTTTCATGGAATTTCGATGGCAGGTCGAAGTCATGTTTCACGCTTATAGATGCGATGACCGGTAAAGGCAAAGATATAAGTCGATCAGGATAGGTCTTACGACCTCGGAGAAACGATCATACGGTGTTTTATTGATAGCATTTATTAATTACACACTCTACCGGAGGCGTACTCAGTAAATTATGTTATGGGCCACACAAAAGGTTTTTTCTTTTATTGTTATAGACCTCAAAGACTTAAAAATGTTAATGCTGATAAGACATCAATTTATTTGAGAACAGACAAATCTGTCTATATCCTATGGGCTCGTGAAAAAAAAATACAAAATTACAAAAATCACAAAAAAAACTATTTTAAACTGTAACGTATTAATAAGACTACATATAAACAAATAATTTTAAATTTTAGAAAAATATTCTTAAGTAAATAGCAATATTAAAATGTAAAATAAATAATGAATGTTTAATTGACCTATCGATTCCACCAGTATTGACTGCGCCAATTACCAATTTTTATCTCAACTTACTACTGTCAACCCGTTTCCTTCTAATTAAAAAATATATTTACATATGACTTAAATAACTAATGTTTTTTAGAAATAATAACTCTTGGCTTAATATTTATATTTACTTCAAAATTATAGTAATTATAATATGAAACAATATACCTGATAAATAATTATTATTATTTAATTTATGCAATATATTTTCAAAAGTTGTACAATATTATTTTTTATAATGTAATGATGCCAAACTAAAAAAATGTGAATGATTAATATGTCAGTAAAATTAAACTATTACAATTATTACTCAAGAAACCAGGGAATAAATAAATTATTACTCAAGATTATTTATTCTCTGGTTTGGTGACGAAATCGATAGGTTGTTTTTTTTGACTATCCGTACTGACGGAATCGATATATCGTATCCCCTAACATAAAAATGTCTGGCGGAATCGATGAAATCCC